CATCTCATCCGGCGGTCTGTCCGCTGGATCAACATTCTTCTGCTACAATCCGACCCCCCCTCGGCTTTACAATTGATATGCTAGGATAGCACGCTACTTCAAAGGGACTCTTCCGGCGGCCCCTCCGCTGCACAGATGATGCTCAATTATAACTCCAATGCTGTTGTCGCTTCACTGTTTGCAGCATAAACAGCCACTGTTTGTTGTCCACTGATCATCCGGCGGACTCTCCGCTGATCCGAACCATCTCCATGGTGGGCCGACCGTCCGCCTGCTCGAGCACCATGGGGGGGTCCAAAGTCCGCTCCATCAAGCTCCCTCGTCCGGGTGGTGCTCAACCATATGCCCGGGAGCTGAATATCTGTAACACTATGTTAGTATGCAATATCAGGACGCATAGAACACATACCAAGAGGAGGAAGAAGGTGGTTTGCTAGAGCACCTCTGCCAATGCTTCGAAGTGCGTTCTTGGCATCCTTAACTGGATCAGGCACCACTAACTTCTTTGATTTTGTGGCTGCAGCTGCAATAGGCGGCGCTGTTGTTATGCTATGCAGATGGGCATAGTTAGTTTTAGCTGCCACCTGTGCTGCGAATATTTTTATTTTACATACACCAATTTCTCAAGCTCCTGCTTGAGACGTTCAAGTTTGATCATCATTGGGGTCTGCTCCATGTTCGGTTGCTCAACAGCAATGAAAATATATTTGACAACGGCCTCCATACTGTACTTTCCTCATTGTATATTGAGTAGGTTCCCGTGGGTGTCCCGGCATTTGTCTCCGTACAGAGCATTGAAGCGGCTGTCAAATGTCTCCCATTCAGTATCCTTCTGGGAACCAGTGATCACGCAATATATCTTCCCGTCCTTCTCGCCCAATGGGACTGTATTCGGGAGCTTCTTAGCGAGTTCTTGGATTTCCTGTGCAATAATGAGGCGGATTTCTTTATCGGAACGTGGCATAGCTGGATGGTGAAGTGTCACTGTGTGGCAAGGATTTGGACAAACACAAGAGGTATTTCAAGTCGATAATCACTGGTGCTTATTGACCACTCATCTAGCTAGCTATCATTAATTATTCTACTATGATTTATAGTATTTCAGTGCATCATTCCCCGCATTGCTGCCACGGATGTTCATCGGGGAATTTGGCATGGTGTACATGCAAAAGTTTCGACTTTTAGCTTTAAGGTTTATGACATCATCTACTATATAGTTTTGTGCCCAAAACAAGATTACGCATACAATGGCATGCATATAGGCGGTTTCCATATCAAATACATTGTTTCCTGTTGCTTTCTGCACTCTAATTGGACACGTTGCCAGTGCGGCTGGTCACACCGTAAAATGGTAGACCACAGCTCGCCGAATTGAATCTGAGAACCCAAGTGCATATCATGTATTACAAGCACTAGTTCTGATAATAGTACATGGGGAGCGAGGTGGTACAAGGAGGCAAGTCGGGACCAATAAATGAATCCAATTACTGATTAGATTACCATGTAGATACCATGTACACCTATGTACCATAATTACATGGTAACTTTAATGGATAAAAACCGTGTATAATCAGTTTTACACTAATTGGTTGGAGCCTTAACCATCGCTTTCACCACATGGGCCATGGCTCATTCCTCCGCCACATGCACTGTGACATTATGGTGCTTGGCCCCTGGGAGGGTTGTGCTGTGGCATTTGTTCTTGGTATGTGCACACGCCGCTAAATCCTATACCCGCAAATTGATTTCTCCTTTGTAGGTTGTGGAATTGGTGTCCTCCTGCGCTTGTTCTGGGTCTTGGCCGTCCTGACTTACCGCGCCGTCAGCGGCACCAGGGACAACAACACTCTCGAAGAAAACTACATCATCTTCGAGCAAGACACTGAGAGTATCTTTGTCCCTCCTCCCCAGTACACCGACGAAAAGGTCGAGGCCATAGCAGCGCCGTCCGAAGAGGAGGAGCACACAAAACCAGGGTATGCAGGGGATGCTGATGGAGATGCTTGGTAGCACAGATGGCCAATTGCGCCGACATGCTCGGTCCAGCGGACATCTGCGGACAGCTGGAGTGGTCGCGTCCATGGATGCTACATGATAAGTACAATTTACTACAATAATAGTAATGAAGTAATGTTAAGGCTCTGAGCAGTGGGCTATGCTGTCGGTGTCGGTGGTCACTATGGCATTCACAAGTACACTACAAATATAATAGCCAATCACGATAATGTGTTAGTAGCATGTTGGGGATTCTAATATGGTCTCAGCGTCTGCAGAATGTCGGCGTCAATGTCATGTCAGCATCAATACCATATCGGTGTCTGTGACAGGTTTGGGTCCGCGGATGCATTTGCATTAGTAAACGGGGCTACAAATGTGATATGAGTCGGTATTGGATATGCTATCGGCATCCATTCACATAGTAGTGGACTGTGTTCATACCATGC